TAGTTAGCCAACAGAATATCCTCATTGCACATCAAACTATCAAGTCCATAAGTGCTCAGATCCTCTTCTTAGAAAATCATGCAGTCTGTATTTCTCCTTTGGCTTCCTGCATAGTGCTCTTGTCTTGTCAAATCTTCTTCTTACAGTCTGGTAATGGTTTGAAGATTCACAGTCATCACTTGGTTCTTGCAAACTGATATAGGGTAGCCCCAACCGCTTTATAGACAACCGTGTTCTTAGCATAACCCTTCAGTCACTGTGAAAGTATGTTTGGGAAAAGATATGTCTAGGCAATGTTATCTCTTTGGTCACTACCATAACCTCTAAAGTCATAAAGTAGACATGAATATCTTTCTATTGAACGCTCTAATATCGCTGAGGAGATATACAGAATTTGTTGTACTCTTTCTTTCTACAAATCCACACTGCTCGCAAACCTATTTCTGGTTTATTTTCTTCCTAATCTTGCTGTTTTCAGTTGGTCCTGCAGACGCTGCATGATGTCATCACCTCGATAAGTAAGTTGGATGAATACCCGTAGTTTGGATACTGTACTTTGGTTCAAGTAGGGCTGGGTGGGGTGCAATGACGTTTGATGAAACCTATGGGGTACCCATTCAGTAGTAAAGTTGAATTGAGAGTTTTAATTTCTGCAGCCAGCGTGTCTTCGGTGCAAATCTTTCTGGTCCGGTTAAACAAGCTTCTAACTACGCCACGTTTGTACTGAAAAGGTACAAAGCTGTAAAAGTTTAGATACTGGCTGGTCCATGTTTCTTTTTGATACACTGATCTTTTGATACTGCCATCCTCTCTACGTGCAATAAGTACATCAAGAAATGGTAAAGTGCCATCATGTTCATGTTGTAACGATAATGTGATGTTTCTGTGTGACTAGTTCATGGTGGTATAGAACGCAGTGGCTTGCTGTATGTCAGCAGTTATTATTAGAATGTCATCTACATACCGACGGTACAAAACCAAATCCCTGATGTGGGCAGCTCTGCTATTTCTGGGATGTGCCGTGAGGATGTCAGCCAAGATGGGACCTAGTAGGCTACCCATGGCTACTCCGTCAATTTGGCGGTAGCTTGTTTCAAGGAAATTAAATTTAACATTTGCGGTACAGCAGTCTGACCAATGTGGATGTAGGAATGTCTAGTTTCTTATCCTTTATTTGAATAATTATAATTTTGATTGTTTCTTCCAACGGCATATTGGTGAATGAATGAACGAACGAACAAATTTCAAAAGGGTCACAAATTGGGCAAGCAGGCCCATCTAACAATCGGCCCTTCCGAACACCTGTCTTTCACACTGCAGCTGTATTTTATCAATAAGCATGTTATATTCATATGATAATATGCATATTATGAATATCAAAAAAGAGGGGGAAAAAAAAGAAAAAGCATGCACACACACCCACCCACATAAACACACCCCATTCACCCATATACATACCTACATTCCCAAACAGACACGCACATTCCACACACATACAAACATAGATATACACACAGAAACACACCCATAGCAACAAATACAGACACACACAAACAAACATGTGCACATACCCAATCACACACGCAGATACACACACACAGACACATACATGACACATACACACACACAGACATATATGCACAAACACACACATATACACTCAGAGACACAAACACACACACAATCACAGACACACACATGCGCGCTGATGCTCACGCAGACACATACACACGACCACAGACACACACACAGAAGCATACGCAGGCATTAATGCACACAGGCACCACACGGATACACACACAGACACACACATGCAAACACATATGCAGACATACATATACACAGGCACACACATACATACTCACACATGTAGACACATCCAGAGACACTACACAGACATATACACACAGAGACATACACAGATATATACACACAGAGATGCACATATACAGTCATTCATGCAGACCCACATACACACACAGGCACATACAAGGACAAACACACATACAAACACACACATAGGCAAACACACAGCTACATACATGTAGAACACACATACAAGCAAACATAGACACATGTAGACACAGATACACATACACACAGTCCCACACGCGCAAACACACACATACATATAAACAAACACACACACACATAGATACACACCCACAGACACACAATACAAATATACTTACACAGAGATGCACGTATACACAGGCATTTACTCCAACACACATATACACACAGGTACATACTAACATACACACAACAAAGACACACACAGCCACATACACATAGAACATACAGACATGCAAACACATTCACAGGCACATGCAGACACATGCACAGATACACATGCAGACACATACAGTCATACACGCACACACACACATACAAGCACAAACACACACAGAAGACATATATACACACCCACAGACCCCAATACTAACAAACGCAGACACAAAGATACACACAAACACATACAGAGACGCACAGGCAGTTATGCACATGTAGACACACCTACATGATGGAAATGAAAGAGCTGACAGGTTGGCTGGATCCGCTATCACTACCGACGGTCAGCCTATGGATCATGCTGATATTATTAATGCCCTCAGAGAAATGGGAAGGATAGAGGACTTTAGTGGCAGTGAATCCACATCACTCGCCAGAATGGCAGACTTGGGAATTAAGATCGGCACAGCAAAAAATGAGACGCACACCAGACACGCCAGAAGACTTGTTAATCAACATAGAACTGGCACTATTAGCCATCGGACGTTGGGGTTCATAATGAGGGGAGGATCTGAGCACCTATGGACATGTCCGGAGTGCAATGAGGATAACCCAACTAACTAACCAAGACACACTTACATATATACACACAAACACAGACAATCGCTCACAGACATATACACAGACACAGACAGAAGACACGCGTGCAGACACTCACACACACATAGAACGATGATATGTCCATTAAAGCCATCTTTTAGATCAATTTTGTCAAGCAGTCCAACAAGCTCAAACGTATCTTTCAATGCTCTCTTTACTGGTAAAAGTATTTCTGCTAACCATTTCGCAATTTGATGCTGAGCATTGACAAGATCGGCCTCATAGGTGTGCCGGCCTAATGAAACTTATGGAGCCCATACATATGAGGGATCTGTGAGCTACGTAGATTGGGTAATTTTGCAGTTGTCTCCCTAATGAATTTACTATTTAGGGGTGACTGAATTTCTTTATTTTAGATTCCAAGTTTCCTAGTTTGTTAGAAGTGTTTTGAGCTTTATTTTATGTTGATGTAACTCTGTAGTAACGCACCTAACGAGATACAGCAAAATGTGCCTGGCAATAAATTGTGCCTGCAATTTAGTGTTTGTGTCCGCATTATTTAAATTCATCTCCAAGAATAGAATTACCATAAAGCTTCAGCATGCAAATATAACATATGTAATTATAAAACACGGTTCTCCCTAAATTTAGCTGATGAACAGAGCAGAGAAAAAAAGCAAAAATGAACATGTCTGACAGTAGAAACCTGCTGTCCACTTATCTTACCAGGAAATAAATTATTGTTACATACTTCAAAAGCTTTGATCAAAGCATCATATTCTTCTTCTAGGCATTTTCTTGTGAACTGTATTTTTGAAACCACTGACCCGCAGTCTTCTTCCATAGTCAAATCTGATGGAGCACAAATAATTAATTGTAGACATGTGTTGCGTTATATGCTTCAACGATTAACGGATAATGTTTAACAATTTACAATTTAGTGAAAGAAAAGAAGACCTAGACATTTTCTTCGAATTGCAACATGAAGCATCGATAGAACTTTACAGTATGAATCAGCATTCCTATTGTCACCTTTCAAAAGCACTCCTTGACTATCCCAGAACAATGTCAGCACGACCTTCTCTGCTGATGTTGTCAAGGATTTTTATCTATTTATACCCAGATATCTAGCACTTTAGCTTCAAGGAGTCACATTTATACATATAAATACTTAACAAATACCTTACAGTCTCACTGCATCTCTGTAATGTAAGTAAGTGAATTTTACCCCATCAGGACCTAACACAGAGCAATAAACACCTGGTGACACAAAGTCCATCATGCGGATAAGGATCACCCGTGGAGAGCTCCCTGAAATCGTCAATAGTGCGCCCTCTTGCAACAGCCAGAGTGCAGCTTCAAAATAGCGAAAAATTTCATCCCACAAGGGAAATGAGGAAAAATACAGTATCTCTGTGATGTACTTACAGTACTTTAAATCAGCTGGTACTCAAAATGTCAGACAGTACTTTATTTTCTAGTTCGCTAGAAAATCATAAGTAGTTGATCAGTTTTTGTCCGGTACATTGCTTGTCCATTGCTTTATTAGTTGATGACAAACATATCAGCCAGTGTTTCAGTCCAGCATAACAGTGACCACAAACATGAATACATGCTGCATGTCTGTTTTTGGTCAGCCAGTACACAACATGCCAGCCAACAGCATATTGTTTAGTTGTCCAGAACAAGCCAGTATCTAGCACATAAATAAACAGATGGAGAACCCTTGCGACAGAAACATTATATATATATGACAAACAAAAAAGACATTGTGTAAATGACTGCTGGTCAATACATTGTTTGTTTGTTTATTATATGCAGTACACAGCATAGTAAGACATTCTAACATATGTATGACAGCTAAGAAACAATAAAAAGATCAAGGAGGGACTGATAACGCTACAGACATTTATACTGACATGGAATGACCATAGCCAGTGCTCCCCCCCTTCCCTCTCCCCTAGCAACAGATGGCAAGCTTCCTCTCCTATGATGCAAACATGGAAATTGATGATGATGATGAATCAGCAAATTAAGCAGTACTTAATTAGCCAGTGCCCAAATTAATGTGTCAACCAAGCTGGTCAACCAAGATACATATTTTCATCCAGTAGTCAGTTATTTGTCCAGCATATCAGCACATGTGGAATTACCTCTCTGATACTTACGATGATTTTGATTCTTGGAGTCTGTCAAAACCTCATCATCCACACATTTACCAATCAACAATTTCTTCAGCAAAAATGCACGTTTTTCTTGGAGATCCTGGTGGATTTTCAGTAACATGTTATAAATCTGTACATCTGTCTTAATTAAATGAAATACTCATATCACAGAATTTGCAATATGTTTAAAAACCAATTTAGCAGAATCTCCAAACCCTAAACCGATACTAGAAAATAACCTAGGAATAAAAGATGATGGTATGACCAAGTCACCTACTGAGTCAACTGGTCAATCTAACCATGGAATTAGTATCGTGTGCCCATTGTGGATCCTTGTGTGCATCCTTGAGAACCTTGGGCGAGGAGAGGAGTGGGTCAAAGTGCCACCTGAGCAGTCAGACCTGTGTAGAGTCATAATCACGCTGAGCCGGGAATGCAGAGACTGGTCAGCAGGTGCCACAGAGGTGGAAATTCAGCAATTAATTCAAGATAATGATCACTCGGAGGATTTGATCATTTACACAAACGGTTCAGTGTCAAGAGGCAAGAGAAGTGCTTGGGGCTTCTTGGCAAAAGTTAATGATCGACGTTTGGTGCAGCAGAGCCTGGCATATGATACCACAACATACAGCTTGAGAATGGAGGTGGAGGCGGTCACTGCAGCTTTCCGCTGGCTAAAGAACACGACACACACATCGTGATTGTAACTGATTCAGAAAGCATGTTGAGGAAGATCAGAACAGGTATGCTTCGTGCAGAGTGGCATGCTTCGCTGCGAAGGACACGAGTGAGGAGTATTGTCTGGATTTTTTCACCGGGTTACACCGGTGTGTTGGGAAATGAACAGGCAGACAGACTGGCTGGCTCCGCACAACTTGGTGGAATACTGCTACATGATAGGGCAGACGTGGTTAGTGCCTTGTGGGAGAGCGTGTACAATTCGGAGGAGCAGATGGATCACCACAGTCTGGTGAGATTGATGCAGTTGGGGGTGACGAGAGGTTCTGGCAGAAGCTCGAGGCTTAGAGGAAAAGCAAGACGGACATTTAATCAGAAAGCTACTGGCACCATTAGTATCGGAACTCTTCGCTGGCTGCTGAAGATGGAGACAGAGCGCTTATGGGAATGCCCTGAGTGCTGTGATGTCGGTTCTTGAATCAAATCATTGTGGATAAAATTTGGTTAAAAAAAGGACCACTGCTTATCACTTGATATAAATTTCTAAACACTTACTCACAAAAGTATAAGTGATTAGTATTTTTCTATAACCATTAAAAAAATCTTTCAACATCAACCAAATACCATTTTTTATACAAAATGCAATACCAGATGCATGCAGAGGGGGTGAAAGAGGCACCTATGAACTATTATAACCTGCAGTGTCAAATTTAAATGTGTGTCCTGAAAATGGGGTCTTCATCTTACTGCCCACGGAAGGCAACAGAAAATTATATAAAGCTAGTAATAGCTCTTTTATTTCACACTACATGAAAATTGACATTTATGCCTGAATTTGTGTGTTTCAGACACCTACTATGAAAAATCAAAATGGCTTCAATGCCATTATGCAGTATGCTTGAAGTGCGAGCAAGAGAACCTTGCCTGACAGTGTTGAGGCACTGGGTTAAGGATTGCTCAACTTGTTGGAAAATTCCCATGTTTCATCTTGCAACGTACGTAATCGTCGCTGGAGGAGCTAGCTATCTATGTATGCTGAACTTCTGAACCTTGTGCTGGGCAAAACACGATGTAGAAGTCTCAGCGACACTATCTGATTGACTATTATTTGATGTGGGATTTGTTGTCATACGAGAAGTTGTTAGAGGAGAGATACAATTTTTGAAACAGAGATTCCTCCATAAAAACACTACTGTGTGGTGACAGTCAGGACAGTTAATGGTTTCAGTTTCATGTCGAGCCCCTGTCTTGGTTTCGGGGCCCCACTGTGTGAAAATGTAGAATCGACCACAGCCTTCCTAACAACCATGTCATAAAAGTCGACTAACTGGGGGCTTCCTTTTAAATCGGAGTGCATCTGCCTGAAAGACAAGGAACCAACAATCTGCATACAAAAATGTCAGATCTGTAAAACAGATGTGTGGACAAACAACCAGAGCCACAGGAAACGAAGAGTTAAAATTCCGATGGTACCAGTAACTGTCTGTATACCTGTCTCGCTTTGCCCCCTGAGTATCAAGCGTAGGCCAGATCCCCTTGTAACTCCTCGTAGTGCCATTCTCTTCAGACCGTACCGATCTATCTGTGCTTGGGCACTGTTCACTAGCTCCCAAAGGGCCCTAACAATATCCAGCTTGTCATACATCAGTTCACCACCAGCTGTTGCAGAACCGGTCAGTCTATCTGCCTGCTCATTTCTCAACACATCGGCATCATCTGGAGAAAATGTCTAAAGAATGCTAACTACCCAGGACCTTTAAAGTGATGCTTGCACTCTACACCTTTCTCAACATGTTCTGTAAGCATGCCAAGTCCATAATCTATCACTGACAGGATCACATGCTGGGACATTGTGAACAAGATTCTTTGTTCCATGTCCATTGCTGCCATTATCTTGAGAGCATTGAGTCCTTTTAGGCATTTTACAGCAACTGCCTCCACGTGGGGCTATATTACATGGTTCTGAGGTCCATGTACCCAGGCAAAGGGCAACCATACGTAAATGCAGGACATTTGCTATCCAGATCACAAACCACGGACAAACCCCCTTCTCCATGAGTGCAAAAATCAAAAATATCATATTTGACTCTATTGTAGGCATCCTCAAGATCAAGTGCTGCCACAGCCGCCTCCTGTTCTGGGACAGGACGTTCTAAACATCAAAATCAAAAGTAGCTGCATTTGAACAGGTATCTTTTATTGGCCTTTATCTACGCAAACCTTTTGGCATGAGCTTTTTTTCTTTCAAAAACTAGTTTGACAGCAATAATCTTTTCTAGCACCATGCTAAAGGTATTTTGTAGAGTGATAATCCTGAAACCGCTAAGTATGGAATAATCTAGTCTAGTTTTAGAAGTAGCTGTGTACCCATTCCTGGGGTACTGAATCTGTTCTGATGCTCTGGTTAAAGTAAAACGCCATCTCCCTCAAGTCTTTGTCACTCATGCTCTTCTTTTGGGCATATTTGACTCCGTCTGGACCAGTGGCTGTGTCTTTTGCTTTTTGCAATAATGTTTTATTTCCTCTACCCTAATAATATCTTCAAAATAATTATCATTTATTGTAGTATACAGATTATCTCTAAATAAACTTCTAAGCTACTTTCAGCAACAGATCACACAAGTACTAATTATTTAAACAAACATAAAACTAATAACACAGGTATACAATTAATTATGATTAGCAATATGTTTGTGTATGTGTATGAAACTCTAGTTGCAATCAGAGAAACTCTATGTGCAATCAGAGAAATTGCCAGTTGGGGGTACTGTGGGAGCCTTAACCCTACCAGACCTGGGGCCCTGAAGCTAACTGTCCCCTATACCTGAGCTCCTGGGCAATAATGCGAAAAAACCAACATGATATACAAAAAATATTAGTTACATACAAGCAAGTGGCTAGAATAAGATGAAACTTGGAGACATTGTAGAAAAAAGGCTTATCTTTATATCTAGTACCAATATTCCACCTGTGTGTACCAGTCCACTCAGGAGGATCAGGATTGTTTCACAAAGTGAGCACTAGATGTTTGAGGGAAACGCTCCCTTCTCTTACTATCGATCTATTTTTAGTTTTATAATGTTCAAGATTCTCCTCATTTTTTGAGCTGAAGGTGTCACTTCAACTTTGAACGTATTCTTCATGAAATAATGACGCTGCAGAGTCTGAATAAACCAAAGTATTTATCACCTGTTGGACTGTGAAAAGCCTAGACCTACTTTACTTTCCTGTCGAAGTGCTTAGTTCATCAACCGCTCATTTTTTTGTAAATTTTTAGAAATTTTTCACGTAACTCAAATTTTATCCAAACACATGCAGGCGGAATCTAGGCAGGGTTCATGGCCAAATTTACCAATCAATTTCAAGGCTTTTCACGGTCTCTTTAGTTTAGTTTTTTCAAGGTTGTCTCGGTGTAATACTGAAACAAGATTTTTGCCTTGTTTGAGGGTGTACCGAGCAAACAATGTACTTCATTTGTGCCACATGTGTTGGTATACCAGCAAATATATCATCATGTAGCATTTCCTTTGTCCTGAAATAAAAATCGGTCTCTCACCAGCTCTCCCGTCTCATGTACTATTTATACACAAGGAGTCACTTATATCCTGTGCCCATCTTCGTGTTGGTCGGCCCCTGAGCTTGATATAGTGTTTGAAAATTTTTTTAGGACTTAATGGTAAAGGGCAGCAAACTGAAGTCTTGTCTGTTCTGGACATGGTACCTGAAAGGGTAAGAGGGGGAGAGAGAGAGTCATGCAGAGAGGGAGGAAGACACATGCTGAGGAAGGCTGGGAGAGACAGTGTAAAGATGGACAGATGAAGGTAGAGGAAAGAAGGAAAAGAAGTCTGGGAAAGGAGGAAAAAACGAGAGGGAGGGATGGAGACATGATGAGGGAAAGTGGGGAAGGGACAGCGAAAGACAGAGAGGGAGACAAATACAGAAAGAGGGAATGCAGATACAGAGATGGGCAGATGAAGAGAGAAGGAAGAAGGGAACAGAACAGAGATATGGAAGGAGGAAAATATGACAAAGATAGTTGAATGAAGGGAGACAGAGGGAGAGAGAACGGACAGGTAGAGAAGCAGATGCAAGCAGAGAGAATTGTAGACATAAAGGAGAGAGAGACAGAGGGACAGCATAGAGAGGCAAGCAGACAGAGGGAGAGAACCAAAGAAAGAGAACCAAAGAAAGAGAAAAAAGGCAGAGCAGGAGAATGGGAGGGAGGTATACAAAGAGGAAGTGATAAAGGGAGGCAAACAGAGAGAGAGAGAGAGAGAAAGAGAGAGAGGTGGGTAAGGAAGGCAGTGACAAACACAGATTAAGAGAGAGGGGCAGGAAGGGAGACAAGATACATCCCCAAAAAAGCCTCCTGCTGAACACCCCCCCCCCCCCCCCGACACACACACAATTTCAAGTGTACTGGAAACAATCACTAGGAAAAGATAGTTATAGGGCAAAAACGTATGTAGATGAACCAGGGAAAAAAATGGGGGGGGGGGGGGGGGGGAATGAGAGAGGTGAGAGGGTAAGGAAATCTAGAGAAAATGAAAAGACAGGATGGAGAGGAGACAAAGAAGAGATGAGACAGGAGAAAGAGCAAGAGAGAACAGAGCAAGGAAAGGAAGAGAGGAAGAATGGAGAGAGGGAGGAGAATAGTGGAAGATCAAAGGAAAGAGAAGGAGTAAGAGAAAAGAGGTAAGACATGGTTGTGTGTGTTTGGGGGGGGGGGGGTATGACGATAAGAACACTGAGCACCAAAAATAGAATTAGGAAATCTCTATTGCGGTTATTATTAAACTTTTTGCGTCAGGAAACCTGCTCTGCGTTTATCTCATAAAAATATAAGTTACTGATACAAACCTTTAAAGCTTTAATCAAAGTGTCATGATCTACCTTTAGTTGTTGCCTGGTGAACTGTTTTTCTGAAGTCAGCAACATTTCTTTCACATCACCTGGTTGAACTGATTCAGACAATTTATTACTTTACCCGTCTCTTGAGTGTAAACGAATGAACTTCAGTAAACATATTCTCACTGGTAACAGTCTCATCCACCTCTGAACCCTCCACCCCCAGAGTACGACCTTTCTATGAAAAACACACTGCGATGAGGCCAACGCAGCTATGGCGACCGAGTATCCTCTTGGATAAGTTGACACCTCTGGGGTGCTCTCTGCTGTTAGCAGGAGAATCACAGAGCAGGGCACTCACAAGCCCTAGCAATTGAAAAGGTTGCTAAAGGCTGAGGACGTAGTCTAAAGCCATATAGATGTGGAAAGCAATGGGAAACTAGCACATTACTATCCCAAGAAACTCATCATGGAAGCAAAAATTGAAACTCAAAGATCTGATGGTGAGGATCCCAGGCCAGGCAGATCACAAACGCAAGCTGCAGAAGAGAACGATGGCAGAGCAAGTAAGGGTAGTTGTGATGACAGCCTTAAGCCCGACGGTACTACAACTCTGTCACCGCTCTAAAGAAAACTTTAAAGTTAGGAACATGGAATGTTAGGAGCATGTATCAGGGAAAATTTAACATCATTGGCAAAAGCTAGAAAGGAATAAAATAGATATACTAGGAATTTGGGTGGGTCAAGTTTAATACAACAAAAATGGAGGACATGTAAAGCATCTGCAAAGACACTCCCTGGAGCTGACTGTGATACTGATCAGAAACTTCTTGCTGCAGAGTTTAAAATAAAACTGAAAAAAGTGTTGAAAGGGGCTAAGCCAATACGTTTTGATTTGAGCAATTTGCCAAATGATTACAGCACTGAGGTTGAAACAAATTAAAAGCGCAGAAATTGGCAGAAACAGATTTACATTACAGAAAAAACGTTCAAGCTGATAGAAGAAACAAGAAATTTAAAGCAAGTAGGAACAGAAAGAAATAGCCATGCATATAGGAACTACCAGTGTTGCCACTTTTCTTTGACAAAAAATATCCAAAACGGTTCCAAAAAATATCTAAAAAGATCTAAATCCGCGTGGAAAAGATCTAGAAAAAACATCCAAATTGAAAAAGTCAAAAATTACATAGCTTTTGTTATGACTTACCCTACATAATCATGTCCTCACCTTCACTGATGTCTGCCTCACAAGATCCACAGGATAAACTTAGCTTGGATAATAAAGTTGAAGCTTCAGATCCAAAATGACCCTGGTATGCTTTAGCTGTAAAATTTCTTTATAAGTGGGAACAGTAGGCTTATTTCTCTAGTCTCATAGCTCATCAGGCCGAATTTTAATGGCACGATAGCATTTAAGAGGTCAAATTTCATCCTGTTTTTTTTAGGTTAGATTTGATATAATTCCTAGCATTGAAAACTCTTTCTACGTCAGCATTTGAGTGGGGTAGTATCATGGCAGACATGGCACTTTAAAGAGCTTACAGAATGGACTGTTTGATGAGGCATCTTTAAATTGTCTCACTTCACTCCAAAACACTTTAGTTTCTGTTTTGTTTGTCCATTCAGCTAACTTTTTTTTGGTTAACTGATATTCTGCTTCCGTGACACTATTATCAGTAGCCCCTAAACATTTCATAACTTTACAATATTTAGGTATGTCCTTTATTGGCTGAAGTATGTTGCTCACAGAAAAAAGTGAAATATTTTTCAAAACATCTAGATTTTCAGGAAGTCTCTGCTTCAATTGCTTCAATAATGAGATAAGGAAATCTTGACAGCGTTTTCTAAAGTTGTTCTCTTTATTCTCTGTTAAAAGTCATTTTGTTTTTAAATCATCAATTTTTGATTAGATGTAATATCCAAGGTGTGGCTTAGGAGCCAAATAGCTCTCTATAGTGCAAGTGAGCAAATCAGCTTTAGAAGTTGGCAACACCAGTCTTTTACCGAGTGAAATAGCAAGGTGAGATCATCAAGTAATTTAACTTTATCGACAAGTTTAGATCGAACAGTTTATTAACTTTTTGCACTTCCATTAGAATAGGTTATAAAAAGAGAATGAATGACACATTTTTTTTCATCACTGTACATTCCATATAGTATTTCAGCTGTATAGCACTTTTCACTTTGTCTTGTTATTTCAAAGTGTGTCTATAACTTCAGCCATTGCTTCATAATTCTTTATACAGCTGGTTAAATTGATAACCATCTAGTTTTGCAATCTGACAGAATTTTCGGTGGTGTTGAACCATCATTCAAGGTTGTATATAATGTATTGTATTGCTGTTGTCTGACAAATGATTTGGAAAACCAGTAAAGTGTTTCAGCAATAAGGTATTCCAAATTCCTTGGTAAATATTTAGATGAAGCATGTGATAATGCTAGCTGCAATGAATGACGCATACATTTTATAAGTATTAACGATGGGTTAGCTTCCTTCAACTTGGCATAAACGCCATTGTTTATACTAACCATCACTGAGGCATTATCAGTACCAATTACAGCCGAATTCTTCAAGCCTAACTGTTTTCTGATTAAAAGGTCCTTCAGTTCCTAAACTATACTTTCTACACCACAATTGAACTAGTCCAAGATTTTTTACAAATCGATCAAATGGTCACAGTTTGAAATTGCGCAGTGACAAATTAAAAACATTGCGACTGATACTTCAACTTTTAATAATTCATTTATCAGTATAGTTCTGAAAACAGATGTCAGCGGTGTAATATCTTTAAATGGAACTGCAGTTTTATGCTTTTTTAGTCTCTGCATGACTCTTTTTGTATTTTCGCTTTAATTTCACACTTGCAGTACATACAACAAGTTTTGGTCATATCACCAGTTTTTAATTTTGTTATCATGCAACCACTCTTTCTAAATTTTTTGCTCATACTTAACTTTTGGCGTGTTGAAAGTTTTTTTCAAAGTGAAAGCCACATAAGAAGGTGAGCAATTAGTTTTTTTTAAATCACATGAAGAAGAAACGCAAAGTCAGCACAGTGGGGATACGGTTGAAACAAAGTTAGTATGATTTACGCGCGTTTTTATTAATCAGTACCGGTGCGTTGACCCTAGTGAGAGTTCAAAGTTCAAGTAATGGCAGTTGTCACAATGTACGTGCTAGACCAAAACAAAAATATTGTAGTAAATATTTTACACATTAATTATTAAATTGACAATGAAAGAAAAAAAAAGTTATAAAATATCTAACTTCATAAGAAAAGAATCTAGAAAAATATTTACGATCTAAACGTCAAAAACAGTATCTAAATGCAATGAAAAAGATCTAAATTTGGATATAAAAGATCCAAAGTGGCAACACTGGGAACTAAATGCAAGAAATCAGATCTTTCAGAGGAGATAAAAAATACAGTTAATTATAATAAATACCTGTAATAGAATTGAACAAGGAAGAGACAGAGACATATTTAAAGAAATTAAAACATTGAAAGGCGAACTGAGGCCTTCTTTCCATGTAATAAGTGATAAAAACTTCAACACATTAACGGAAACCAAAGACATATTAGAAAGATGGAAAGAATACTGTAGAAAATGTATGAGGATGTGACAAGTAATTCAAAAATGACTTGTGAAAGTTATGAAAAAGAACCAGAGCCTTTATTGGATGAGGTATGATCGGCAATACACAGCCCGGAGAAAGGAAAGTCACCAGGTTGCTACGAAATATCAGCAAAACTACTTCAAGCAGGAAGAGAGGCCAGCGTCCGAATCTGGGCTTGAAGATCTGGAACAGTGGCATTTGGCCTAAAGCGTGGAAAAAAAACAGTCTATATTTCTCCTAAAGAAAGGAAATCTGAAATTATGCTCCAACTACCGTACCATCGCATTAATAAGTAATGCTAGCAAAATCCACTTACGAATTATGATGAAAAGGATTGAAAGGAAACTACATGCTTGTTTTATAGCAAGGCATTTGATTGTGCCCAGCACCACAAACTGTGGACTATTATGAAAAGGATGGGGTTTCCAGCGCATTTAGTGCATTTAAATGAAAATCTCATCAGAGCAGCTGGTGAAACATCTGATAATTCGAGGTGCAAAAGGGGTAGGGTTTATTCTCTCACCATACCTATTCAATATATACTCAAAAAATATAATGAGAAATGTCAAAAATGACCAGATTTGTGACAGTTATGATCCGCTCAAAATTGGTGGCAACCCTATTCCGGAACTTCGCTACGCATATTACACAGTCCTTTTTTTTTCAAACAGTGAAAAGGGAATACACATTTTAATATTGTCTGTCCAAAAGCACAGAAAAGATCAAAATCTGTTCTTGAATTTAAAGAAAACAAAAATAATGTAAACGGATGTGAGTCGTAGACTATCTCTCAGTCCTTAAAAAAGAGAATGGGGGCTTTTGAGCTGAAATGCTATAAAAAGATTCTCAGAATATCTTGGACAAAGAAGAGGAGAAATATTAACATTTTAAAAGATCTGAACATCAAGGAAGAGTGGCTAATAAACAGCATCCTTTCTCAGAAGCTAAAATATTTTCAACGGACTGCAAAAACTTTAGCAGAGGGCATGGTACCAGGAAGGGGTGGCAGGGGCGGCCGACACGAAGATGGGCACAGGATATAAGTGACTCCTTGAGTATGAAATTACATGAGGCGGGAGAACTGGCAAGAAACCGAGTTTCTTTCAGGCAGACTGTGATGAGAGCGACGTTCTGCAAAGGACCTGCTACATGATGATGATGAATGTCAAATTTATGTTACTCTAGTCAAACATACCCTGCAAGTCTGAATGTTATAATTGGAGAGTCCAGGTTAAAGGAATTATGCACCTATTTGTGAAAAAATATGCAGATAGGGGAGTTTACGATGGTATGTTCATAACCAGAGACTATGCAGTTATACAAGGACCTTGCTCATTAAGAGCAGACCTAGGCTCTAGCATTCTGGCTTGAACATTGATATACTTCTAAAAACATTGCAACAAAATCTGACATACTTCCATATCCATTAGTTTACTATCATGGTTCAAGTGATTGGAAACTCGATTAGTAGAACTGTAACAGAGTGAGCTCATAGCTTGTTTGTTAGTAGGCACAAAGCTAGGATATAAATAAATCAACAAGTTTTGGCAGCCTTGACATTCTTTTCTAGAAACTTAGTTTGTTATTAACAGAGAAATGTTCATACTGAGGGGAGGATCTGAGCACCTATGGACATGTCCGGAGTGCAATGACGATAACCCAACTAACTAACTAACTAACTAACTAGAGAAATGTTTTGCAAATGAATAATCTATAAATAGTACTTGACGTCATTGTCTGGCCTTGGCCTATTTTCTAGAAGTTTTGAAATGCATTCTTTTCATCATGTGACCCAACCCTGTTGTACTAGTAAATACTTTGTTGTCGTGCCCTATCAAAGCAAACGCAATTGCACTTGTTTTTCTAGAAGCTTCTTTTGTCGTCAATTGTCAGTTTAACTACCATATTTGTGTAGAATAGGATGATGAAATCTGATGAAATTGAGATATTTTTAGAAAATCCCACGTGAGAACCTACCTAGTAAACAAGTTGAGGTGTACTGGAATATTCTAGAAGAAGACAAAGCGAGAAGAAAACAAGTACCTAGCATTCCAGTATTCAAGTATAAATAGTGAGTAACAAAGCACTTTAGCAATTCTTTAGTCCACAAGATTCAAGAGAGGAGAGGCCAGTCACATGGGCTCTCAAGACAGCCTTCAGTGGTAGAGATGTAAGCCCAACACTAGAAGCCTTCAGTCGTTGAGACTCAGATGACGAGCGACTAGTCTCAATGATCCTTAATGCCAGCTCAACACTGGAAGCAGAGCAGCCGTTCATATTGAACCTTGACAGTCACTGGAGAGCAGACATGAAACGAGACATCGAGCTACAGAGACGACACACAAGATACATGGATCCATGGAGAACAGAGACATATTAGGAACTATAGAGATGTTAGAGTCATTGATCAAGACGTTAGTACCAAACAGCACTAGAAGCCAGGTGGCAGTTAGAGACACTAGAACGAGTTAACAAAGTATTTAGAGATGAAGAACACAACGCGAACCTACGAGTTTGTAACCATAGGGAAAACACAGCGCTATACAAAATATTATTGATATTGTTTGTGTCATTGCTGAAGTATCACAATAAAGACAGTATAGACAAGAACAGTTGTTTCCAGCCATTTTATTATACAAGCATCAGAGTCACGTGAGAAGCATGCAACAAGCAAGACATCATCATCACCACCACTATCGACACGACCATACTTCTCGTCTATAATCTTCCAATCGACTCCTCCTGTAGCAAACTTAAAGACGAACCTGGGTGTGATAACAACGTACGCCACAAAGAAGAGAGCTGTGCTACAGAACTAGATAGGCTGCCTGGTCGAGCCATCGTAGTCCAGGTAAAGATGTCAACTAAATTTAGAGAATTAACTCCTACCAAAATGATACATAATGATCAAGTCATCATTACAATCACTGCTACAGCTAGTGAAGAACACTAACCTGATAAACCAATCAGTGCCTAAAAGTATGTATGGTGCTACCTAACTTGTTTATATGCAAGAGTGATTTTTCAGCATATCCTGTATCTATATTTCTGATGCCTGGTCATCTTATGTACGGAACATATGTGTTAAGGAGTCATGTCCCAGAATTGATTTTACTACAGAGAAGGAAATCATCCATGGGTATAACATCAGGATGGAAGAACAGGACATGTAAGTAATGCTGAAAAGAAGGGATCAAGGTGAATAATGAGGAATATGTTTTCTGGGATAGGTGGACCTGCTCAGGAATTTGAACATTATGCTTTTCACTTAAGACCTTCTCCTTTAAGCTCTTAATGTGGGTTTGATAATTCCAGGTAATCAAAGTTTGAACCAGTACAACTTGTCTGAATGTTTTTCTTACCTGTAAAGACCGCGGGCAGTGGTGACTATATCTGGCGAAGCCACTTGAAATTTTAACAAAAGAGGTAGGGAAAAGGTTGTCACGATTCTTAAGTCACCTAGGTATTGGTTGGTTTATTGTGAAATGGGGACATCCCAAACACAGACTAATATCTGAGCCACCAACTAAACTTGTATATCTCACTTCACTGTGTTTCTATTTTAGGAAAGGACAATAGGCCACTAACTAGGTCACAAAGGAAGAGCTAATATAGCAGTGAACACGAGCTTACATATTTTATTCCATTAAATCAATAGCTGTTTTGTGAAACATGCAAGTAACTGCAGTAGTGGTGAATCAGATTCATAGCATAGTTACTCCACTCCCCTGCCAATGAAAAAACACAGAATGCCCATCACTATCCTTTTGTGGAAAATTTTACACAGACGGCAGTCTCAGCACATCCACTAACAAACACAAGCATTAAAAGCATAAGGCAGCCATCAGAAGTACCACCACAAACCGTCAGACATTAGCAATGCAGTTCGTCATCAACAGAGCGGCAGTTGCACACATGATCAATTGTAAACACATAAGGCACCACTAATGCTGTAGCAACAGGTCATATGCCATTTTCTTAATTTACAGTTCGCAACGTCAACGTTGGTCACAGTCGAAAAACTTTCCAAATAAAAACCACAATTTAGTGTTGGGCCATGCACTCAGTAGCTGAGCGACACAACTATATCCTTTCAGTCTATAAATGGAGGAAATTTCAATGGCCACCATCTGCCAGAAGCAAAATATTTGCAGCAACTAAGGACAATTAAAGAAGAAAGAAACTGACTCACAAAGAGAACTGATCGCGCACATCAGAAAGAGACAATCTTCATTTTTTGGTCATGTGATAAAGAGGAGAAAACTGGAGTATATCATGACTGTAGGAAAGTTGGAGAGGAGAGGCAGAGAGAACAAATGCTGGACGGTTTTCATGGCATAGAATATCATCTGTATCAGAGTACACAAGACAGAAGGTTGTAGATAGACATGAATAGCAATGCCACATGGCATGGGGAAAAAAAAAGGACAGTGACTTTGTCAATCATCAACTTTTAAAATGAGATTAGGTGACCAATGACCCTTCACAATCTTTTCTCAGCCTCTTTTGCTTTAGTATATGAAAAGGAGAACAAACGAACGAACATTTTTAAAGGCTTAAAAATAAGTTCAGTACTAATCTACACACAAAAATATCAGTTTGTCAGCCAACATTCAGATTATCAACTGCTTTTCTAATTATCTTCAAGCATCACATTATCAGTGATCAACACAAATAATTACCTATCTGATACTTGTCATATCCCTGCTTTTTGGATTCTGCCAAAGCCTTGTCTGTATCTGACTGGGTCATCGACAGCTGAATATAGATATATGCCTTTGCTTCTTGGAGTTCCTGACATGAAAGTTAATTGTGTAATGTTATGTAATTCAAATCATAAACTGTACCTGTTAATTTAAAAACAAAATATTCCAATCTTCTTCTTCTTAGCATTCACTAGCTGTAAACTATAGGTATTCAACCGCTTCTACACTTCGGTCTTGCTCCAGGACTGAGTCTTGTGTTCTGTTTATGGTTCTGTGATGATAACTACTAGGGCTGTACCAAATATTCGCTTCGTATTCGCTTTGGGGCCGAATAGTTGACCCAATAACTATTCGCTATTCAGCCAAATAGTTGCGGTCGGGCCGAATACGAATAGTGGTTACCTTACAACCGTTTCTGGACTGGTGAAAAAAAAACATCAAGATTTCCCACCTTGGTTTATACTGTGAAGCGTTATCTTTGTGCACCACCTACCAGCGTACCAAGTGCCCCTTTATTTCCATCTTGTATGTGTTGCGAGTATAGTGTTTTAGGTGTGTTGCTGTAGAAACAAAATGCAACACTTAAAAATGTAAGAGGGGCAGAAAAGCAAGTGTTCTAGTGTTGTTGGCTTGATTTCTTTGAGTGGAGTGTCCTCTTCCTTGATTCTTTGAAGTAACGGGAGTTCGTCATCATTTATGGGTGTCGTAACTGTTCTTTTGTCGTCTCGTGGAAACGGCAGCGGCTGAATGTTTTGATCCACGTTCGGTTTCTTGGTTGTCTTTGTTGTTTGATCTTCTGGCTTTGGCCACCCGGCGTCTGGTTTCGTGAGCTCGCGGGGGGCTGGGCGACTTGTAAGGACGGCATTGTTTTCTTCGTCGGCGTTTTTTTTGTTTTTGATGTTTCGCCTTCAGGGTTTTCATTTTGACTCTGTATTTATCGTATTTTCCTGTTTAGTACAGCTGGAAATACCTTCAGTGAGACAAAAAGCTGGCCTAATGCTGACAACATGGAACAAAGGTTTTTTTATGGAGGTGTGTCAGCACACGAACTAATACGTGCTGCAGGAGATCGCAGATTGTGGCGAGGAATAATCGCCCATGCCAGTCGGCAAAGCACATGATGATGATGATTCACTATTCGTATTCGGCCGAATAGTTGGTCCAGCTATTCGTATTCGGCCGAATAGTGAAAATCACTATTCGGTACAGCCCTAATACATACCTTTTCCTGGTATGTTTTATTCTCCCCTAGAAAAGTGTACAAAAGGGAAATTTTAAAAACTTTCATAGAAATTTTCTCACACTGAGATTTGTCCTCAGTGTAGGCTAGTTTTACATCCACTATCTTGCAACAAGTGTTATTGAACAAAAAAACTGTTTAGACACCTCTTCAGATCCTTGCATCTAGTTCAGTTTACTGATGCCTTTTTCTCAAGCAAATATGGTGTTGGGTTTTCTGGATTTACAACTAACTTGGGGAAATACCTGAAAGTGGACAGGCGCCCACCCAGCAAGCCTAAGTGAGCACTTTCTGTGTGTGGCAAAATTGCTTGGGTCATGTCTTCCTAGTCACTGTATGCCAAGCAACCATTAGAATTACTGAGACATGATTCTGCAACTCACCATTAAAACTGAATTCACCCACCATGTGACAGTGGCTCTAGGTAAGTTGACTACCTATCAATGTGTCAAGGCCATCTTGTGATGTTAGGCAAATTCTGCATTTGCAAAAAAATTTGCTATAGCACTGCTTAATATTAGCAGTTGGATACATCCAAGATAAACAGTAAAGCAAAAATGAACACAAGTGATTTTTCAGTAAACCTGCCCTCCACCTACATGTTCTGCATTCATCTCAAGAAGTAACTGCGCTGTGTCAGTTAACATGAATGCAGTATTTGCCCCTTTCGGCCAGCACATTTAACTCTGCAGGCATCTGATACCCGGGTTAGCCTTTGCAGTTAGTTGCGTGGGCCAGTACAGTATCCCTGTTGTGTGGTCATCTTTGTTTCCTAGGTCACAGGCGGTGACAGCATCACGCTGGTCCAGAGTAGCCACGTAATGCTGGTCAGCTCTTATGGTAGGTCAGTTGTACCTTACCAGGACATCACACAAGTGATAAACACCCGGTGACACAATGTACAATTATGCGGATGAGGATCACCCGTGGAGAGGTCCCAGAAACCCTGTTCAGCCGTTAGGCCATTTCTAAGGCCCTGATATTTGGGGCCCCCCGCCAGAAGTAGAGGTAAAGTAAAGTAAAGATTCCTTTTCATGCCTTAGGCGCATCAGGTATATGGGAAGAGCGTCCCATATTTTTACAGACCAATCAGCACTGAATGGGTAATGTGGTCAGGGTTAGCAGCCCGACGTGAATCCATGACAGCTGCAACCCAATTCACCATCCATGGACTGACCTCCTTCTCCTTCAGTGCAGTCATCAAGATGTCGTATCTTACTCTGTTATAAGCATCCTCGAGATCCAGTGCTACCGCCATAATTTCCTCTGTTCTGGAACCCTTCATAGACGCCAAAAGCAAAAGTGGCTGCATTTACCCAAGTGTCCTTTCCTGGACCTCTTGGGAGAAGCTTCCCCCTTTCCACTGAGCTTTAAATGATCCTTAAAAGGTTTTGGTAGTGGGATTAGATAGCTGTGCACCCAGTCCTGCTGCTGTCCTAATGCTCTGGTTAAAACATCTATCTTCGCTAGGTCAACATCGCTCAAAGCCTTTATGTGGCCATACCTGACCCAATCAGGCCCTGGTCCAGTGTCCTTTGCCTTTTTCATAATTTGTTTGATATCTTCTACTCGTTCTACTGAGCTATAAACCTATGGAGAAAAGCCTCCCCTTTCTCCTTGTCTGTTGTCATACGCATACCATTGTCTCTATAAATGGTTCTCACTGTCATAGGCCGATCTTTTCTTTGCATCTGCCTTTGCGATTTCCAGAATTTCCTAATTGTTTTATTGCCTCCCATATAATTCACAAAAGCTTCCCACTGTGCTCTTTTGGCCTGTGCAGCACAGTAAAACCTCCACTTTATCTTTTTTTTTCGCATTCTCCGCCATCTATATTTCCTCTCGTGAGCTTGAGGGTGTCGGTCGTACTTTCTTTAGATGCTTCACTGCAGCTCTCTTTGCCTTCCACGCCTGTTCTACTTCTGGGGTCCGCCATGTGGGCTGTAGAGAATAAGTTCTAGCAATTCTGTTGCATGCTCCCTGTCTGAGGTGTCCAAGTAGATTGTTGGTCCACTTATACCCAAAAGTCTTGCATGTTCTCCCAGCCTTTATCTTACCGGGTTTAGAAATCAGGAGTGAACATGGTAGGTGATCGTCCCATGGTCATTTAGGACAGTCTTTAACATCTAAAACCGACAATTGGGATATAAATGTCAAGTCAATGGCTGTGTCTGCATCGCCAGACCTCATTGCCATCCTAGTCGGCCTCCCATCATTGATGCAGACCATATCAGAGTCAGCCATGGCCTCTGCAAGAGCTATTCCCTGCAATCTCTACCTGTATCCCTGAGCCTCTCTTCCACTGTGGTTCCACTGGCTCAAGTCAAGCAACAGATGCTTCACTACTTCCTTTACCACCAGACCTCTACCATGTCTCTCCTGTCCAACAGGGTTTAAAATACCCAGGGCAATATCTTTCTGTATTTAGCTCCTGGAGCATGATGACATCCAAATCAAAAATCAACCTCTCCAGCACAGGACCTCTCTGCCTAGCACTCCGACAGCTCCAGTATCCCATTCTTACATGATTGAAGCCCAGTCTATCTTCTTTTTGTCTTGTTCTCCTAGCACGTGCCCTCCTATTCCTATGCCTTCTCTCCTTCTTACTCTTCACGAACTGCTGAAAAATATGTCAAGTGCAGAGCACCTGCCCATAGCTCCGATGACGATTCCTATGTAAATTTTTAAAATGCAGGAAATAACTGGTCACCCTAGTATTGCCTGCCTGCTAGGGAAGGGGCAATGGATGTCCTGTAGGACCAGCTGACCCATGGCCATCCAGTTCTTTAGCTGGCTGGCTCACCTTGAACTTAGGGGTTTATATTCAGAGTTTGCCGTCTTCTAGATGGACTGCTGTCCAAAGCTAACGGGTTCCACTGACAGCATACAAAACATGAGTAAACCAAGTAAAACATTTACAGTGTTTAGTTTGATCTTTGAGATTTACCACACATATGTCTTAGGGCATTCAGTGTGGCAGTATGTGGACATATGGGTCTGTTATATTTTTTTTTCTACTTCATTGTTTCTGAACTCTGCATCTCTTATATATTAACCTGGGTGTAAATACTTACCTTAAAGGCATACATCAGAATGTCATAATCTTCTTCTAGATGTTCTCTTGTGTATTTAATTGCAGCTGGTGTTGACTGGTCTTCCACTACCTTACCTAAACCTGATGAAACAGATGCACAAATGCACTTGTTACATATATTTTACTTTATATATGTCTAGGCTTCATGCAAGGACTAAGGTGCTGACAAGATGCCTCAGGGACATTCTATATGTGGATGATGCATACAGAAAATGATCTGCAGCTTCTCATGATCTCCTTGCAAAGGCATGCACAGAATTTGGACTATCAGTCTCATCAAACACAAGTGATTGGGATGAATGCGGTAAACTCACCAAGCATTAGCATTTATGACCATGAGCTATTGGTTGTACAGAGTTGTATCTTGGCTCTCAAATGACAGACAATCGTTTCCAAGATGAAGAAAAGACTAATAGGAAAAGCTTCTGCAATGCTTTCCAAACTTACACGAACAGTGTGATTAAACTAAAAGCTAACTAATAGGACCAAGATTAATGTTTATGAATAATGCACCCTGAGCCTTCTTCTTTATGACAATAAAGTCCATATGCTCCTCAAGAAAAAAGATTTCCATCTTGGGTGAAAAGAATACTCACAGCTCCCCAACAAGCATGTTGTAAGACTAATAACAAGGGTTTCCTTCAAGGTCTTAGCGCATCTGCCTAAGAGGCTAGAAACCGACAGTCTACTTGCAACAAATAAACCAGACCTGTAAAACTGGTGTGCATGCAAAACCATAAAGGCTATATGAAATGCATTTTTGATATTTCATGGCAAGACTTTGTCCCCAGCGAATGTGCACCCAACAGAGCAGGAATACCAGCAATCTACTTTCTACAAAAGCAAAGATGCCTGCGTTGGCTGGCCAGGAAGATGGTCACACTTTAAAGGATCACCTGTATGGTGAGCTGGCAAGAGGAAAAAGATATGCAGGAAGGCCAAAGCTACACCGTTAGAACATATGCAAAAGCAAACTTGAAATATGTCAACACTGACACAGACCAGATGCAAATTGACCCCTTTGGAGGCAGATAGTGAAAGAAATAAAAGAGACAGTTGAAATACTTTGCCCACATTAAAAGACTAAAAACTCTTATAAAAACCATGCTGGAGGGTAAAGTAGAAGGCAAGAGAGCAAGGGGTATGCAACAGTACAAGTGGGAGGACAACATTAGCAACAGTATGAAAGAGTGTACAACCAGGACAATATACAGAGCGTGTTGGAGATCAGTTGCAGCCAAGCGTCACTGTGGAGACTGCAGCTAATTGATTGCGAGGAAAGGACCACTTGGGGATTTTCGTAGGTGCAAAAGTGGCATTACTGAAGGTGCAGAATTTCATACTGTTAGTTTAGTGAGTGTTAAAAACCTTATTACCAAGCGGATACGTAACGTGAGTTATCAATGTATTTTACACTGCTTGATTAAATTATCATTAAACAAGAACAATTACTCCTGATTATTTATCATCGACTGTTGAGAGTGTTCAGTTAAGAGGGATAAATTTAAAATACAGCACTCATGGCCAGTTGGGCATGACTGTTGAACCTGTGGTCATATCGGCACTAGCGCCACAGTAGGTTGGACCCTCACAGACAAGAACCTTCAGTCTTGAAGACTTTAAAAAGAAGGAAATATTAGCATGGAACCTCACAGACAAAAATCTTCAGTCTTCAAGACTTGGAAGATAATGGATTAGTAGCATGGACTCACACAGACGAGAACCTTCAGTCTCTGAAACTAAGAAGGGGGACAAGTAGCATTTACCCCTACATGTTAGTTCGGAAGAACCTTTAGTGTGGAGATGTCAACTTAGCACTAGAATGTAAGGAACCAGAAGCCCTAAAAACAGACACTAGAGAGGAGACATGACATGAGATATCGAGCTACAGGCTCTAGATAAGATGCATGGATCCATGGTCAACAGAGACACATTAGATGGAAATATCACTAAGATGCTTAAGTCGACAACCAACCAGTTAGTACCAGGCAGCACTAGGAACCAGGTGACAGTCATAAAGACACTGATAAAGCCAGTTCATGATAGAACAGGGGTGAAAAACACACCGTGACATCAAGAATATATATCACTAGACAGCTAAATCAGCTGCCATCCAGAATACCACTGATATTTTTATCATATTATTGAGATATTACAATAAAGAGAGTACATACCAAGACATTTCAAGACATTTATTATACAGCATCATAGTAACATAAGAAGCAGGTAGCTAGCAAGACATTATCATCATCATCATGCAACATCTTCCCCTTTGTCTATATTTTTCAACTGATTCCATCGGTTTGCAAAACAATGAACCTACGTGTGACATTAACACACACACAAAAAAAACAGTTGTGCTACAAAGTAATTTACCTTTTTAATCTCAGTCAGAATACACAGCTTGTGTTAAAATGTATGTCAGTCTGGGTTCAGTTAACAACCATTACACAGTATCAAATGAGGTAACCAGTCTAACAACATGTGCTTTATCAGTCAATAAAACATCAATAAATCCAAACCATGCAGGTCAGTGCTGAACACAAGTACTATCTTTCTGATACTCACAATGCAATTGTTTCTTGAAATAGGACGAGGCATCCTCCTCATCTTGTCTGTTCAATAAATCTTTTAACAAACGTGCATGTTTTTCCTGGAGAAA